GGATTAAAAATATGCCTGGCTTTATTTTAAGATTAATTTTTTTAGCCGGGCGATGGTGGCACATGCCCTTAATCCCAGCACTCGGGAGGCAGAGTCAGGCGGATCTCTGAGTTCGAGGCCAGCCTGGTCTACAGAGTGAGATCCAGGACAGGCACCAAAGCTACACAGAGAAACCCTGTTTCAAAAAAACAAAACAACAGAGAGAGAGAGAGAGAGAGGAGAGAGAGAGAGAGAGAGAGAGAGAGAGAGAGAGAGAGAGAGAATGAGAATGTATTATTTTAATTATGTGGCTGGGGGTATACTCACAATCATAAGCGGTTGCGAGCTACTAAGTGGCAGTGGCAGTGTCGGATACTAAACTCCAGTCCTGGCAAGAGCCATCTCTCCAATCCTTTTTCTATTTTAGGATAGGGATTTTGTCACTATGTTGCTCACAATGACCACAAACTGGCTAATGAGGCAGCCCAATCGGCCAAGTACTTGCCATGCAAACATGAGAAGAACTCAAGTTCCATCCTCCAGAATACACACAGAAAAAAGCTAGGTGTGGTGTCACAGCTTACAATCCCAGCCCTGGGGAGTTGGACACAGGAGAATTACTGGAGATGAGAAGATCCCTGGGGCTCCCTGGCCAGCCAGTCTAGTCAAATTAGTGAGCCTAAAGCCAATGAGAGACCTTGTCTCAAAAAAAATCAAGAGGCTTGCACCTGAGGACAGACACACTAGGTTGACCTCTGACCTATACATACATACACACATATATGCATTTGCATGCTTGAGCATACACAACACAATCACATGCCCCCAATCCCTGGACTCAAGCCTCACAAGCAACTGGGATTATAGGAGTACACTTGCTTACAAACAGCACTTTTAAAAAAACTTTTTTTTGGGGGGTTACATTTGTTTGTGTATGGAGTATATGTATGTGGTCCCTCCTGTGGTCAAAGAGCAGTCCACAGCAGTCATTCTTTCCTTTGCCCAAACATTCATAATTCAAAAATTAAAAGTAAATAAAAAATATTTTTTAAAGATTTGTTTTATAACTAACCAACTTCATCGACTAGTTACGTGAGATGCTGAAAGTTACAATATTGCAGTTACTGATACAAATGGTGTTAACTGGAGACATTAAAGCATTCTAAATGTTTTGCTTATTCCTAGAATATTCTTCAGAAAGTTAAGACATGTTTTATGTCCAAGTGCTAAGTCTTAGTATAGTGTTTATGATCCTATAAAACAAACAGGATATGATGTACATTTGGTTAATTATTGGGTTTAATTTCTACTTGATCCTCTAAAAGAATAGTGTGTTGGTACAATGTAATAACATGATTTTCATGAAACAGTTGAGACTGAAGCCTTTCAAAGTTATTTGATCTTTAGATCATCAGTCTTGTAATGGAAATGGTTCCGTTTGCAATGTGAGCCCTGTACTTGGTGGAATGACAATTGTTTGCTTTTATAATACACAGATTTTCCCTGGAAATAAAAGATGAAACACACTTTCCCCTAAGTTTTCTAAGAAATAAAAGAAATTTTTTAAAAAAATTTTTTGTTTGTTTTATGTTGTGCAAGCTTGTGTACCACATGCACTCATGGTGCTTACAGAGCTGGAACTGAAGTTGCATGTGGTTGTGAGCCATCAAGTGGGTGTTGGGAACGGAACCCGGGCCCTCTACAAAATCAGCAAAATGCCCGATGAACAAGTGTAGGGTTAACACAACCTTAGGGTCCGATATTTTAAACACATTCCTGTCCCCTGGAACAGGAAGGAACAGTATACTGGAGGGAAAAAGCTGTGAGCTGCTGGGTCCCTTCAGCCAGGCTCGATTTCTTATTGCACCTTCCTATACCCAAAGGTCAGAACACTGAAACCCTCCAGCTAGGTTCAGTTAGTGATTTTTCACAAATAAACAAAAGTCCTAAAGCCTTCAGGGGAGCTTATAGATTAGATATAAAGACTTCAAGTATGGCATTGTACCCCAGAACCTCTCTCTTCCTCCCCCAATATGAAAAGGCTGCATTTGGCCAGGTCCAAGATCAAATCTAAAACCCTTACATGTGTCCTAGGAAATCCTTCTCTGGCTGGGCAGTGGTACACACCTTTAATTCCAGCACCTGAGGAAGAGGCAAGCGGGTCTCTTTGAGTTTAAGGCCAGCCTGGTCTACACAAGGAATTCTAAAGAGAGCCAAACTGACCAGGGTTGTATGGTAAGAGCCTGTCTCAAAAGGTGTTGGGGGAGGGGAAGATACACCTTTCCCAAAGTGCTTGGTGAGACTGCCTTACCCTCCACCTGGGCGCACCTGACCCTGAATTAAGACAGCCAGATTCTCTATAGCTGGCTACACCTAACTCACGACTCCTCTGGAGTCCACCGGGCTGCCCTCAGTACGGATGGGCCTGCACTCACTCACTGCTCACACCACTCGGATTGAAGGCAAGTGCCCTCCTCCCAAAGGCGCTTGCCTTCAATCAGTACAGTGCACACTCCCTGTTATGAAATATGGCTTTGAATCACCTTTCCAGAGATGATCTCACTGTCCTACAAACAGATGCGCAATTAGAAAACACCGGGAATGGAATTTGCCGCTGTTTATTGCTTATAAAACAAACGAGCCTTCAGCAATCCTGTGGTGAAGAAAGCCGGTACAAGATCACAAAAGTTCCCTCTGAAAGAACTACACTGTGAGAGTGTCCCTGTCAAGGAAGACATTCATCATACCCCAGGAGCAGGAAGGGAATGGTTGCAACTAGGTAAAGAGGAGACCCTAACAAAGTCTAGTCCGTCATCAAGGTGTAAGCTAGGTGAGAGGCCAGTCATATCCACATGTGATAAGCATGTACATGTGCTGATGTTTGAGGATGACAGAACATGCCTTATAATGTTTAGAAGACTTCTCTAGGGAGCCAGAGAAATAGCTCAGCTGTTAGGGAGTACCTGCTGCTCTTGCAGAGAACTAGAGTCGGGCAGTTCGTAACTGCCCGTAACTACATCTCCAGGGGATCCAGCAACCTCTTTTGGCCTCCTCCTGCTCCACATACACATACACATAATATGTACAAATATGACACCTCTAACTGACCGGTGGAAAACAGATGGAGAATACACAAAAATCCAGGCTAGCAATTGGAGTAGCTTGGACTAGAGAAGGGTACAAAGAGAAATCAAGAGGAATTGTTTCGGGTTTTGTTATTGAGATAGGGTCTTGCTATGTAGCCAAAGATGACCCAGAGCCTCTCTCATGCCTCCACCTCCCCGATGCTAGGATTACAGGCATGGATCTTTACACCCAGTTTATGCAGTACTGGAGATTACACCCAGGGCACTGTGCAGAGTAGGCACACACACTCCCACCTGAGCTACATCCCTAGCCTGTTATTTTTTTAATGGTACAAAACACAGCAATTCGAGACATAATATTATGTAGTAGGTAATCTCTTGTAGTCTTTCACATAATTTTCTAAATGAGCACAAATCACATGTAACTCTAGACACCAGATCCCTCGTGTCTACATGATGGCTCAAGCATAGACTACAGACACTTATATCCCCAAAGTTTCTTTTTGTAAACTCTGAGATAACTTGATGTCTAAGAATCAGGATGTCTGATTTCTCTCAGGAGGTTACTAGATCTGGCAGAAACACCAGGGCCATGTTTCTACAGGTTGGTAATTGGCAAGGACACAGGCGCTCTGGTTTATCTCAGTGCCCACACCCAGCACTCTTTTCTCATCTGGGGCACCTGCTGTAAAGGTTTGTTATTTCTGCCCCCACGGCCTGGTATCACATAAGATGCCACAAGCCCTTGTTAGTGTAAGATATCTTGATTTGGGAGCAGCAATATAGCTCATTTGTTAGAGTGCTTGCCTAGCATGCAGGAAGCCCCAGGTTGATCCCAGCAGTACCTCATAACCAGGTATGGTGGATCACAGCTGACACCACTCCCCCCGCCAAAAAAAAAAAAAGGAAAGGTATCTTAATTTGGACCTTAAAATCGGTTTTTCTTAACTCATTTTACCGAATCTGGATCATACTTGGCTTAGAATTTCACATGGTCTGTAACCACCTGTGTCAGGGACCATTTATATACCAGGTCCATTACACTCTAATATGACCCAACTACAGATAAACTAGGTAAACTACTTAGAGCTGGCTCCTTTGCACACCAGGGAACCACATATGCACAATAAGTCTGGGGCTGGGGCGATTTTCCTTGCCTACAGCAAATGCAAAGCGCCCGCCAGGTTCAGCTCCCAGAACAAGAAATAAACAATACTGTCAGGTTATATGCTTCCCAGGGGTGGAGCCGAGTCCTTCAACACAACCTGTGCCACTCCAAGATGTGTAAACAGAATCCAAGGAGACTCACTGTCCAGCCTCTCTCTCTTACTTTTTGGGACAGAACACTCAAATTGGCAAAACCTCTCTCTCCACTAGAGAAAAGCGTTTTGTAATTCAAGAGATAGGGAACTGTCAGTTGTTTCCAGCAAACGCGGCCTCCAGAATGCTGACACGGGCATGCTGTTATTCCAAATTGTCTCAGGCCTCCGAATTTGTTTTACCTCTTTCTCTCATCTTCATCCCTCCTGCCATTTCTAACCCCTTGGCCAGAAGAAATCGGATACATTGGTCAAAACACCATTAACTTTCAACCTAATGGTACAAGGATAACATAATAAACCTTCACAAAGTTTGGGGAACCAGAATCCACGTAAGAACTCGCTGCCACCGGATCGCCAACAATTTGTCATTTTTAAGGACAAAGCGTCCTAAGGGACCTTCCTGTCATCGTTCCTCGGACCCCACCCCCAGATGTAGGATCTGTACTCTGAAGCATCGCCTATGCAGAGTGGGGTTACAGAGGGAAAATGCACGGTGCTTGGTAGACAGACACTCAGCCTTGGGCTGATGGCACGAGCCTCCCAGCACATGCATCCCTCCGAGCCAGGTGGGCAGGGCCGCGACCCAGGGATGCCGAGGGCGCGGCTCACCTACCTGCAGACGCACGTTGAGCATCATGGAAGCCACGATGTAGAGGTAGGGAAAGTTGATGCGCAGCCGCCAAGCCAAGTCAAAGAAGATGAGCAACGTGCGGGTCAACCCCTTGCAGAAGACCCCATAGGAGCGGGCGGCGGCCGAGCGCGACAGCCGGACAGCCAGACCCGACAGAGCCGTCGCCATATAGAGACCCGCGGCGCTCCCACTGCCCGCCCGCCCGCCCGCCCTCCCTCTCCGCGCCGCGTCGCCCAAGGCCTCCTCCCTGGGCCGCTGTTCCAAGCTCAGCGATCTCAGGGAGCTGGGGAGACCGCGGCGAGGCCGGCGGGAGGGCGGGCCGCGGGGGAGCTGAGTCTGCGCGTCACTGTCGGGAAAGCGCCTCCGCGAGCCACCACCTGGATCCCCGGCCGGGCCGCGCGGCCTGACGTCACAAAGCCGGCCCGCGCCTGCGCAGGCAGCAGACTCCGCCCCCTCCCGCCCCGCCTCGCGGGCCGCTTCCCTAGCAAGTGAGGTGCGCGTGCGTGGGAGGAAGGAGTTGCTGCGTTGCGTCCTGGCGCCCTCTAATGGTGAAGCTAAAGGATAACACCAGAGGGAACGTCGGGCGTGGCGGCGATTGCCCGTAATAGTCCAGCTCTCCGGAGGCTGAGGCGGGACCTGGGCTACTTGACAAGGCCCGGTCTCGAGCAAGAAAAAGAGAAAAAAAGCAAAGAGGGGCTCGGAAGATGACTCAGCGGTCAAGAGCGCTTGCTGCTCCTCCAGAGGACCCTGAGTTCAGTTTCCAGCACCCGTCTTAGGTGGCTCACGGTCACATACAACTCTGGCTTCTAGGGATCCGATGCCTTCTGGCCTTCGTGAGCATCTGCACTCACCTGCGCGTGCATATGCTGAGATGCACATTCACATAAAAATAAATAAGTCTTTAGAGAAAGAACAGGGAAGAGATGGACCATGGCCATGGTCACAGGTACTTTATACCACGTTCTTTAAAATGGGTACAGTGGGCCAGCAAAATGGTCAAGAAGGTAAAGGCACTTTCCGCTACTCCCGAGAACATGAGTTCAATCCTTGGGACCCACACCGTGGGAGGACACAACTGACTCCAGCCAGTTGCTCTCTATGCTGGGTTTTTTGTTTGTTTGGGGTTTTTTTGTTTGTTTGTTTTTGTTTTTGTTTTTTTCTTTGTTAACTTGCCACAAGTTAGAGTTACCCTGGAAGAAGGAACTTCAACAGAGAAAATGGGAAGCCTGAGCAGGTGGGTTGTAAGAAAGCAAGGTAAGGAAGCCAGGGAGAGCAAGCCAGTAAGTGATGTCCATCTGTAATTTCTAATTCAGTTTCTGCCTCCAGTTCCTGTCCTGCCCGAGTGCCTGCCTGCCTTGGCTTCCCTCAATGACAGACAGTTCTTTTTGCTGTACAAGCCAAATAAGTCCTTTCCTCTCCACGTTGCTTTTGATAATGGTGTTTATCACAGTAATGGAAAGCATACTAATATATCCTCCTGCCTCCTCCCGCCTCCTGTGTTTTATGCATGTGCACACCATGTGCGCGTGAGCTCGCGAGTGCGCGCGCACACACACATCCACACACGCACAATACACTAAATAAAATGTGACTTTACATTTTTCTAATGGTTGCAGTGGGGGCTAGAGAGATGGCTCAGTAGTTAGTGCTTCCTCCTCTATCAGAGGACCAGAGCCCAGATTGCAGCAGTCACATCAGGCAAGCTCATAAACATTTAAAACTCCAGCTCCATGGAATCTGATGCCCACTTCTGGCCTCCATGAGCACCCAAATGCACACATATATTCACACACACACACACACATACAATATTTAAAAAAAATGGTTACAATGGGAAGTTTCCTATCACTGTATATTTACCATATTTCCAAAAGAAAGAAAAAAGGCATTTGTGGGTGAATGAACAGCCCAGTGTTCCTGTGTGAACGGCCTGCCGTCCCAGCCATTCTTGTTCAATGTTCAATTATATACACTTTAAATCTTTATTAATTTGTTTATTTTTTAAAAAGGTTTATTTATGATGTACACAGTGTACTGCATACAGTTACACCTGCATGCCAGAAGAGGGCACCAGATCTCATTACAGATGGTTGTGAGCCACCATGTGGGTGCTGGGAATTGAACTCAGGGCCTCTGGAAGAACAGCCAGTGCTCTTAACCTCTCAGCCATCTCTCCAGCCCCTGTTTATTATTTTATGGGTGTAAATGTTTTGCCTGCATGCACCACTTTGCTTGCATGTGTGTCTGTGCACCACGTGTGTGCCCAGTGCCTGCAAAGGCCTGAAGAGAGCATCAGATCCCCTGGAACTGGAGTGACAGACTGTGAGCTTCCAAGTGGGTGCTAGGAATCCAACCTGAGTTCTCTGGAAGGGGCAACCAGTACTTTTAGCACTGAGTCATCTCTCCAGCCCACAATCATATATGCTTTAATAATTGTAGTACTGCCAGGTAGGGTGGGATATACCCTCAGTCCCAGCACTCAGGAGGCAGAGGCAGGCAGATCTCTGTAAGCTCAAGGCCAGCCTGGTTTACAGAGCAGGTTCCGGAACCCAGAGGTACACAGTGAGACCCTGCCTCAAAAAAACAAATCAAAATAATTATAGTACTAACTAAAGCCTCTGAGGTAAAACATACATCGATTGTGGAGAATTCTAGTATTCTGGAATGTAAGGAGTTTGATAGAAATCTTTTTTCTGGATTTGTTTAAGACAGGATTTTTTTTTTTTTTTTTTTGAGACAGGGTTTCTCTGTGTAACAGCCCTAGGGGTCCTGAACTAGTTCTGTAGACCAGGCTGGTCTCGAATTCATAGAGATCTACCTGCCTCTGCCTCTGCCTCTGCTGGGATTAAAAGCATGTGGCACCACTCCCCGGCTAGGATTTTTTTTTTAACGCTGTTATATTCTTTTTGTGTGTATGTGTGAGGGAGTTGGTAGGTAGTCTCATGGGTTTGGGCCCAGGTAGCAACTCAAGGTTGATCTCAGGAATCTTCCTCAATGACTCTTCCAGTTTATTCTTTGAAGCGGAATCTTCAGTGACACCAGGGCTCACTGGTACTGCTAGTCCAGCTAGCCAGCTTGCTCTGAGGAACCCCTTGTCTCTGCCTTCTGAGGCTAAAATTAATTCTGCTGCCCAGCTTTTATTCAGCTTCAGGGTCTCCTGATTCCAGTCCTCACACTTGGCCAGCAAACACTTTATTATCCCCTGAGCTCTCTCTCCACCCCACCCCCCAAAAAGCTTATTGTGTGAGAGATAAGGCTGAGGTGTGGTTCAGTTGAGATACCGCTTGCCTAGCACGCATGAAGCCCGGGATTCCGCAGCACCTCATTAACTGGGCACGGTGGCTCACTCCTGTAACCTCAACAGGTGGAGGCAGGAAGATCAGAAGTTCAAGGTCATCCTTAGCTACACAGTAAGTTTAAAGATAGCCTGGGTTAGCCGGGGGACGGGGGGAGTGAGGTGGGTGACGCACACCTTTAATCCCAGCACTCAGGAGGCAGAGACTGGTGGATCTCTGTGAGTTCCAGGCCAGCCTGGTCTACACAGTGAGTTCCAGGACAGGCTCCAAAGCTACAGAGAAACCCTGTCTCGGAAAAAAAAAAAAAAGATAGCCTGGGTTACATGAGACCTTATGGAAGAAGGGAGAGAGACAGAGAGACAAAGACAGAGAGAGAGAATTTTGTCAGTGTGAAAAGTACTTTTGTACAGGCACAAAGTGTGACAAGAAGGGGCTTGGAGGGAAGCTTATTAATAACTGATCAACGAGCCCGTCTGCTCTCCTTACGCTTCCCCTGCTGCTCTCGGAGCTGTGCCTCAGAAGACAGCCAGCCCCGAGAAACCAGGTTCCATTTCCAGCAACTTCTCCACGCTCCCCTGACCTGTTTCCAGAAAAAGAGGATGTGGATGCTCATCCCCCCTCCCTGCGCCCCCCCCTCCTGCTTCTTGTTGTTGTTGGTGAGTGATTGATGTGGTGGGGGGGGGCAGCACTGGGCACAGTTCCAAGCACACAGAAGGCACCCAGAAAACAGGAACTATTTTTATACCCAGAGCGCTTGAGTCCTGAGAGTGTAAGTTCAGTGGATTTATGAACTCAGTGTGCTGTTAATAACGGTTAATGATCAGCTGTTTATAAAATTATGTTCCTTGAACAGTGAAATGGTTCAGCAGGTAAAGACACTTGCGGCCAAGCCCAATGAGCTCAATGCCCAGGCCCCACATGGTAGAAGAAGAGGACAACATACAAGTTGTCCTCTGTCCTCCAGGCACAGGCGTGCGGGTGTGCGACACAGACACAGACACACACACACACACACACACACACACACACACACACACACACGAATAAATAAAATAACTTTCCTTGACAGCCCAGCTTTAGTGAGGCAGTGGATTCAATCCCAAATACTGCAGAAAACAAAACAACAAAATCCTGTTTGTTTATTCTCATACGAATACCTGTATGAAGCTGTTTTTAGTGGTTTTGGTGTACGTGTGTGTGTTGGGGGAGGGAACATGTGTGCCTGTGCACAGAGACCAGTTTGCTGTCTGGTGTCTTCCTCGGTCACTTCCCAGTTTTTGAGACAGTCTCTGGCTGAACCTGGAACTCGCCGATTGGCTGGGCCATCTGGCCAATGGGCTCCAGGAATCCTTTTTCTTGCTCACCAGTGCTGGAATGACAAGAGTCTATGACCATGCCTAGCTTGGTTTTTGTTGCTTTTTGTTGGTGGTGGTTTTTGTTTTGTTTTGATTTTTTTAGGCAGAATCTCACTATGTAGTCCTGGCTGGCCTAGAACTCACTACGCAGACCAGGCTGGCCTCAAATCCTGCGCGCCTTGGTCTCTATCCCTAATGCTGGGATTTAAGGCATGTGTTACCACACCCTGCCCATGCCCAGCTTTTATCTGGGTGCTGGGGATCCAACCTCAGGTCCTGATGCTAGCATGACAAACACTTTACCCACTGAGCCAGATCCTCAGCCCCATGCATGGAAATATTTTAAAGTAAAAAAATGTTTTATGTATGTGAGTGGTTTGCCTATGTGTGTATATATACACCATGTTCGTGCCTGGTACTTGTAGAGGCTAGGAAGGGGCATCAGATGTTATGAGGAAAGACCATAGCCTCAGTCTAATTATAATTAAAGATTTATTGCTTAGTTGCTAGCAGGATGAATAATCTCTGAGGCAGATTTGAGATTGCCATGAGAAGGCAGGGTGACTTTTGATACCGACTCAAGCAAGCAAAAACTGGTCTGTTCTGTCAAGTTAAGTGCCCCAGAACAGTCTTGGGGCATCTGCATACACAAGTTATAGAAAGCCAAAAAAACAGTTAGTCATATCAGAACAAGCAGATAATCATGGCTATACATTTTGGGATGTGGTGGGGTCAGAGTTCCTGGGAAAGTTTCTGCCAGGGGCTGGAGCCAGACACAAACAGCTAGTGTGTACCAAGATGGATGCCCGACTTTACATGAAGTTTCCTTAGCTGTCACCCAGATACCCTGGAACTGTAACTTACAGTTGTAAGCTACCTATGGGTGCTGGGAACTGAACCAAGGTCCCCTGCAAGAGCTGAAAGCATTCTTAACTGCTGAGCCACCTCTCCAGCTCTATGAAAGTATTTTTTGGGTTTTTTTTTTTTTACATTCACATTTAATCAACCTGAAGAGAAAGATTCAGGAAGAGAGAATGGGCACACAAGAGCCAAGATGTGGGTCACCAACTTTTTCTAAAGCTGAATACAGTGGTTCACACCTGTCATCCCAGAATTTGGGAGGCTGAGGCAGGAGGATTGCCTGGAGTTCCAGGCTAGCCTGGGTGTTCTGTTGTTACTTCCTCTGAGTTGAAGTGTTCCCTCCTGGAGGAG